ACATATTGTTTTAGGAAACTGAACAAAGGTATTTGTAAATAATCTAAGGTGTCGAGAAAGTTTTCCTCCATTGCTTTGTAAAATTCCAATAAACTGCAGTTCCGACACCAAGAGAAATAAAATCTCCCAGCCAGCACAGAGAGCAACTGTGAGAGCCGGCCTCCACAAGCATGAGGCAGGTGGACGGAAGGAGTTCCTGGAGAAGCAACACGACCCTCAGGGACGATGGCACAGGGGACAAGCCGCCCTGGTCATCAGCTCCGTTAAGGATGAGGAGGCTTCACCCCGATGACACAGAAGCAGATGGGAGAAGCGAAGGCACCGTCAGAGATGCCTGCAAAGGACTTACGGGGCGTTTATAAAAATGACTAGACACCAGTTCAAACACACCCTGGGAAACAAACGTTTACACAAATGGCAGCCAAGGCAGCTGTTCAGGCAAGGTGCCATTTCGTGTGACGCAGGAGAGACGTCAGTCCATCTGCAATAGAGAAACATGATCATTGTTCTCGTGATTTGGAGCCTCTGAAACAAAGAGCTCCCACTGTAAGAGGTCTTGGGACAGGGGCCTATGCAAACTATTACCAAAAAAATGTTCCTCCCTCCAATCCCTCATCCACGTTAGCTGGTGTCCCTGGCACCACTGTGCACATATACACAGCCCGCATCTCCAGGGAGAGCAGCGCACAACAACAGTGGCATCTATTCCCAAGGCGTCCTCTCCCTAAGCTTTTCTTTAATGAGGGTGTCAACCTGCGAAAGCACAATGGGAGAGGAGGAGAGAGGCTCACATGATTGGAAGCGGACCATCCAATTCTGCAAATATTTACTGAGCCAGGAACCATCCCTCTCTTTCATGTTTTGACTTCAGTGGTGACCCTGTAAATAAGGTTTCCTATTCTAGAATGCACTGTCATCTGATTGCCAGTTTACCGAGCTAACATTTGATTTTTTTCCTTTGAAACAAACGCTAAGATTGCGGACACAGTTGAATTAGACCTGACCAGAGTGGGTACAACTGAACGCGGAATTAGCAGTGAGCACGGCTCACTTGGGTCTGACGGAGCATGGAAACGGGAGCTGGGGCTGCGTACAGTGAGACACCGTGATCATATCCAGACAGATGTGAATGCTTCTTAGCGTGGCCTTTAATGTCCTCTGTGATCTGCCTCCTTCTCCCCTCTGCCCACTCTCCCACATGCTCCCTAAACTGCCATAGCCCCATCCTGCATATAAAACCTAATCCGTACTCCCTGCCTCTGTTCCTACTCTGTATGGAACGCCCCTCACCCACCCAACTCCCCGACCAGGGTGTTAGGCTGCGGGCTTGCCTGTCCCTTGCCGCTGGGAGCTGCTGGACACTTGCAACCCTCAAGCCAGGTCTGCAGGCAGAGAGCCCACAGGCAACAGGGGAAGAGACAGAACTGACAGCTGGTTTCAAATGGAATACCTGTGTGACCACGGATAAGTTAACCACTGTGTACTTCGATTTCCTCCTCTGTAAAATGGAGACAATCAGGCTCTTCCTGAATTGGGTTGTTGTATGTATGTGGAACATTTAGAAGAGTGTGTGACACAGGGTAAGAGCTACGGGAGGTTCATTATAGTTGTTGTTGTTGTCAAATGTACACGGAATAAAGAAAAGTAAAGGAGGGAGGGAGACTGTGCTCTGTTGCCAAGCAAATGTCCGAATCCACATGACAGCAAGACAGCTGGGTGCCGCCCTGCGAAGTGGACAGTGTCATGTAGCCCCTCACTGTGCACTCAAAAAAGGAGACAGGACTTCACCCTGGCTGGCATTCATGCCCTCATTTCTTGCCTGGGCTACCCACCCACCCCTGCCAAAGCCAACCAGCCGGGTACTCGCAAATCTTGCAGCAGTAGCACAGTATGGCATGTAGGGACACTGGCTCAGTTCCTCGCACCGCAGCCCCCAGGAGATGCTCCTGCTCCTGCAAGGTCAGTGCTGAGCGTCAGAGATGATGCCGTCCAACACCACCCCCGTCACAGACGGGGCCACTGGGGCCTGGAGAGGTCACGTGTTTGTACTTGGTTAGGACCCGGTTTACCTATAGTTTACTTTTGTCATGCAGTCAACTTTGTAGCAGGTACTAAGAATTCCACGTTCATAGTTCAATGTTGGAAGGAACTTTAAAACTTACCTAGTTTGGCACTTTTCAAATGCCTCATTCTAGGGCGTCAGGACAAGATGTGGGCTCTGTTACGTCATGCAATCATTTGGTGAGCATTTATTGAACACTTTCAATGTGCTGGGCACTGGGGACACAAGTCAGATACCACCCCCGCCCTTAGGACCTCACTGACCAATCGGAGAGGATGGCATTACATAAATAATTGCACATCTGGTAGTAAAGCCTTATTGTTGTGAGTGAATTAGGGTACAAAATATACTAGAATGAGCCTATCTACTTATACCAATGTGCTTTCTGAATGGGAGAAAAAGGCCCCGTTGGGGTGGAGGGAGCGGTTACAGGTAGTGCCCTGGAAACTGCCTACTCCCTGGGCTCACCAGTGCAAGGGTCTCACGTAGAATAACGTCACCACGATGTGGCTGCGGCAGTTGAGAGACTAGGAACCAATGAAATTGTTCAACCCACCCCCATTTGCCTGGTAGGCAAACTAAGGCCCAACAAGTTTAACGTACTGTCAAGACAGCACAGCCAATAAATGGAAGAAACTTAAAATTCAGCCATGGCTCAACTGGCCTTCCAAAAACAGATCACACCCCACTGTGTGGCGCTCACCCTGCTCCCTGACATTTCTCCGGCTTCATCTCTCGCCTTTCTGTCACCTGCTCAATGATCCGGCCATACGGAACCCTGAATGCACCTCTTCTTTGCCCAAATTACGCCCCCTACCAGGAACCCTAAGTCAGTGGCCCCTAAATAATGCCGACTCCTTTTCGCACTCAGAACTCCGCTCAGGGCTCTCTCCTCCAGGAAGCCCTCCCAAGCTGGCCCTCCTTCACCTCCCACAACACATACAACTTTACATACAGAGAAACACTCATCACATGATGTATTCATTCATTCAACAAAGATTTATTGAGTACCTTCCACGTGCCAAGCACCTGAAGGTACAGAAGTAAACAAAACAAAGCCTCTGCCCTCATGGAGCTTACATTCTAATGAGGGAAACAGACAATAAACAAACAATACATAACACAGTATCAGGTAGAGTTTAGTGGTATGGGGGAAGAAAAATAAAGAAGAGCACAGGTCAACAGAGGGGTTAACAGGGAGGCCTGTGTGAAGAAGTGCCATTTGATCAGAGACCTTAAGTGACAGAGTCAGGCATACACCTTACTGGGGAATGAGCATTTCAGGAAGGAGCAGCAAAGGCCTGTAATTACTGCAGTGATTTCTTCACTTGTGTTTTTATCCTTAACTGAGCCATAAGGTCCTGGAGGGCAAGGATACCTGACATCTGAATCGTCTTTGATCTGTAGGGCCCAGCACCCTGAGCCCTTACCATATGAGTAGATGGGCCTGGGCTGGCATGTACACCTGCCGATTTCTGAGTCCACCTCGCTCCATCTCTTGAGATCTTAGCCGGCTTCATGTCTCTCTCCCACAAGGCTAAGCTAAGCACAGGCCCTGTTTGGGCCAATCAGCCTTGCCTGACTCTGGGGCCTGGTTCCAGGCCCTGGATCTCTTTTGATTAGGACTATGGCACCAATGAGTTCTCCAATTTTATCTTGTTCTGGTCCTCACATCTCTGGCCTGGGCCTGGGACCCCATCCAGAACCGGGAGTCCTCCCTCACGTTCCCCCGATGTCCTGGGCTTGAAATTCCTGCCCCGAATCCCAAGCCCCAAGGCTGAGGACCCTGACACCTGGAGTCAGGCTGCCGCAAGGGCTAACCCTTACCCTGACTGATTCTCAACTTCGCTCCGATCACAGGCCTCCTTCCTGCTGGGACATCAACCCTCTGTCGTCACCGATCCTTTCCGCAGCCATTTCTACATGTTCCAACTTCATAAAACTGTTCTTGGACATCTCCCACAGCCAAGGCCCCGGCCTAAGGACCTGAGCCCTCATGTTGCCTGCGGCAATCCCGACCCGTGAGCAGGCCACCTGGGTCTAGGTCTCCAGGCTCAACTACCCTAAGTCACAATCCTCAGACACCAGAAAGCAAGTTAAGTAGCCTTAGACGCTGCAAATAAAGTCAAAAGGCTAATTGACTAAGCAAACGGCAACAGACACGCCTGGATGTCACTGGTGCTTCATCCCAGTCCCCACCAGGTCTACAACGGGTTCAGGAACAAATAACCCATTTCTTCCCTCACCGTTTCATCCACCACTTACTGACACCTGCTATATGCCAAATCCTGGAATATGAAACACGGTGCCTACCTCCACTGCTGATGATGGTCATGGTGCTGGCGATGCTGATGGGGGACGAGAGAGGAGAGGTAACATTTACTGCACACTTGTGCTGTGCCACAAGAAGCACTGAGTCTTCTAATACTTACACACTATGAGATAGGTACTATTAGCCTCACTTTACAGAGGAGGAAATAGGCTTAAGAGACGAAGCAACTTGCTCAAGGTCACATAGCTAAATGTCAGGTGAGACCCGAGGTCTGTCTGCTTCGAAGATCCAAACTGTTACACTGCCCAAAAATCGCACAGTAAGTGCTAAACAAATGTAACTGAAATGAAGACGTGAGAGAAGATCCCAGGCCTCCGGGACTCACAAGCTAGTGCAGCAGGCAGACACATAAACAAGTATCTACAGTGTGGACAGGCGTGTCCTGAGCGGTGGAGACCGCAGCGCGGGAGGACAGCCAGAGGAAGGGGTGCCTACTTGACCTGGAGGGGCTGAAAGGCTTCCGGAGGAAGCGATTTGGGGGCTAGGCCTTCAGGGGTGAGCAGTTTGTGGCCGGAGTCCAGCCCTCACACCAGGCCAGGGCCGGCCGGCTCCTGCGAGGTCGTCCTGTACACCCCCCTGCGCCCACGCGGCGGGGCCGGGCCTCACCTCCTTCCACTTGAGCTGACGAATGCTGATCTTCAGGGCGTCCAGGGAGGTCCTGGCCTTGGAGCTGTCCACGGTGACGGGCCGCAGAGAGTGGTACTCGTCCGACTGGCGGCCCGAGCTCCGCTTGCAACTTCGGCCCTTGGTCCTGGGCTTCCCCTGCAGCCAGAGACCCTGCGCGCGCGCCGGCTTCGGCCTGGACACGGGCGGCGCGGACGGAGGCCGCGGGAGGACGCCCACGTCCCCCTCCTCGGCCGCGCGGGGCTGCGCCGGGACAGGGTCCTTGGCCGGCTCCTCCCTCGCCTTGCGCTCCGGCTCTCCTGACGCGCCCGCGTCCACGAGGACCTGCTCCGCCGCCGCCACCTTCGCCTGCGCTCTGGCCGCGGCCACAGCCTTCGCCTCCCACCCCTCCGCCAGCTCCCTCTTGGAGCCGTCCCGCTGCATGGCGCTCAGAGCCGGTGCCAAGGCCACTGCCACCGCCGCCGCCGCCGTCGCCCCGTCACCCCGGTCCGCGACCAAACTGCCTCCGCTGCCACCGCTGCCACCGCTGCCACGCGCTCCCCGCCCGAGCCCGTTGCCATGATCGCTCCGGCTCGGGTTGACACTGGCCGTCACCGCCTTAGGACGGGGCCCGGGTAGGGACAATCACCGACCAAGCCAAGGCGACCTCATAGGCGGCGGTTCCCACGTGGCCAGGCCTGTCACAGAGGCGGCGGCGGCCATCTTGGAAGAGGGCAGAAAGTCTCCTGGGCCAGAGAGCCCGCCCGCGGGGGGCGCAGAACTTGCAGAGGTTGGAGGTGAAGCGGAGGGTAGAAAAGTGTTGGGCACTGATGGGGCTCCTGAGCCTGGGGACTGGGGAGCAGAGACAAAATTTGACATCAAGAGACCCGCTTCCCCCACCCGCACACCCACTCGCTGGGACAGCTGCCAGTCTGAAGGAGGGGGCACAACTCACCCATTCCAAGGGACGCTGCCATCAGGAAGCGCCTCGGTCTGATGAAGGACCGGACGCGTCCGGGCCCTCAGGCAGGAGCTATCCGTTTGAAGGGACACCTGTTGCTCCTGGGAGAGCCCTGGCCTGAAGGGGAGGCACCTTCCCTTATTCTCGGAGGGCGCCCTATGCGATGGAGAAGCCTCGGAGACGCCCTGCAGATTCCCTCTCAAGTTGGCGACATGAACCACGACCTTTTCTATGATGCCAGTTTTTGTGGTAAAATAAACAACATAAAAGTTACCATTTTAACCATATGTAGGTGTACAGTTCAATGGCATGAAGTACATTCAGGTTGTTTTGCAACAACCATCACCAGCATCCATCTCCGGAACTTTTCCGTTTTCTCAAATTGAAACTCTCCAGGGGTGTCCAACCGCTGGGCGTCTCTGGGCCACGCTGGAAGAAGAAGGCTTGTCTTGGGCCACACATTAAGTACACTGCGGCACGTAATGACACACACGAAAAAATCTCCCAATGTTTTAAGTACATTTACGATTCTGTGTTGGGCCTCATTCATAGCCATTCTGAGCCGCGTGCAGCCCGCGGGCCGCAGGTTGGACAACACTACACTCGTTAAACACTAACTCCTCACTCTCTCTCCCCCAGCTCCTGGCAGCCGCCACTCTACTTTCTGTCTCTATGAATTAGACTGCTCCAGGTACCTCATGTAAGTGGAATCAGGCAGTACTTGTCCTTCTGTGACTAGCTTATTTCACTGAGCATAATGCCTTCACAGCTCATCCATGCAGTAGCATGTCTCAGAATTTCTTTCCTGTTTAAGGGGCAATAATGGCCATTGTATCCATCCACCACCTTATCCCCAACCACCCCTGAAAGGACATTTGGGTTGTTCCCCCCTGTTGATGATTGTGAAGAATGCGTCTGTGAATACAGGCGCACAAATACTTTTCCAGGTCTCTGCACTCAATTCTCTTGGGTTGCCATATGTTTTTAAAGCCAATCCAAGGGGAGGGCTCTTCCCTGCACTGGAAGGAGCCACATTTGGGTTTTTAGGGAATGAGCTTGGGGAGGTATTACAGAACCCCAGACTGAAGACAGTGACCGTAACTCCACACCGGTGAACTGGGTCACTCTGTTTTATAGGGTGAGAGGAACACTAAAGGTGTCAAGTAGGGTGGCCCCTCTCCCTTACTCATCTTCTCAGGTCTCTTATTTTTTTGTTTTGGCCCTGGGTTTCACCGTGTAAATCCTAAACACAAATGGTCCAAACCTTTCTAGCAGCAGCAGAAGCTCTTATCTGTTGCTCTGGAGCCCACCAGGACTTTATTGCAGTGTTTAAGGATCGTCAGCGGACCACCTGCATCTGAGTTACCTGAGGTGCTTATTAAGAATGGAGGCTTTGGAACCCCAGGATCTCCAGAGACTTTAAGGAAGAACATCTGGGGGCGGGGGCTGGAACTCTGCATGTTAATTAGGTCCTCCGCTGATTTTTAAGGCAGCCAGAGTCAAAAAGCCATCAGTCTAACGCAGTCCATTCCAAGGCCTCTGGCGATCCTTGGAGCTGTCCATGGTACCAACAGGAAGCCCTGGCAGCCCCCCAGTCTGTCTCCACCAACCTGCTCCCAAATCCCATCTCTCCTCCTAGCATCTCTGGCCTTAGCAACGGGTACCACCTGCATTCAGTCTTCCGTGACTGAAAGCTGCGAAGTCTTAACGCATCCTCTCCCTCGCCTAGAACCAATCCATTCCCACGTCTTACAGGTTTTACATTGAAAAGCCTCTCGTACCTTTCCTCTCTTATCCATTCATATCATCATTGTCCCAATGCAGGCCTTTAGCCTGGGAAATTGTCCCAGACTCCTCGTGGGCCTCCCTGACTCCAGCCACCACCACAGCCCAATTTCTTCTCCACACGGCAGCCAGCCCTGCCGCTCTCCTGCTTAGAAGCCCCCCTGGTTCCCCACTATCTATAGATAAAATCCAAGCACATTAGTTTTCCTACAAGACCCTTCCTTACCACCGTCCTCTGGAATCACCCTTCTCTCCCCGCCTCCATTCCTTTAAACACTAGGTCTGGACTTCCAATTCTTTTGTGTCTCTGCCTACGAAACCCCTATGTCAGTTCCCACTCAGATACCTCCTTCCTGGACAAGCTTTTCTCAGTCCCCACAGGATGAAATAGTTAGTCTCTCTACCCTTCTACTGACACACATTATAACCTCCTACCATTCATGGTCTGTCTCGCCAGAAGTCACTGTAGCCTCCTCCCTTAGTCCGGAAGGGGATATGTCTGGTTTAATTAACCTCCATGGCCCCATTTCCAGGGCTTAGAACAAAGATGCCCCATTAAGTTGTATGAATGGAAAACTTAGTAAGTTATTTTCCACTTATTTGTCAAATCTTCCATTTCATTTTGGCTTTACATCTAAAAAATCTCTGCCTCGGGGCCTTTGCACGTGCCCTTTCCCTGCCTGATAACTAAGACATCTATAGCGATACCTCTGATCTGTCAATCTAAATTGGACCTTTTCAGATGAAATCATGACACAAGAGAGTGAGACAAGAGGAATCGTAAGGCAGTATGCAATTAAGTGCCAAAGAAAGCAGAGAATTAATAACCATTTAGGAGTTCAAGGAATGACGGATTTACTGTGAACCAGAAAGCTAGATAAGGCTTTGCATAAGAGATAGAATATACACTGAGCCTTCAAGATGGAGTAAGAATCAGGTAGACAGAAGGTAGGTGAGGTGGTCATTCCAGAGGCCATGAGCAGGGCTGTCATATATAGTCATGCAGGTGAACCACAAGGCCTCACAGGGGCGAACATCCAACTTGCACTCTGCCCATCAAGCCTTACCCATCAAGGCCTTGTCCGCCAGAAGCGGGCACCTCTGCTGATTGGCTCAAAGGCTCCCAGGGCTAGTGGGGCTCCTGTATTGAGAGGGAGGTGAGGAAAAGCCTCAGTACAGGCAGATGTAAGGTGGAGGTAATTACAAGCCTCTCCAGGAAGGCAGGGAGCAGCCTGCGCTGGCTGAAAGACAAGCCATAGAGGAAGAACAAATAGGAAACAAGGCCCAGTGGAGCGCCACGGTGAGCTCTGACTTCTCAGGAAACCCTAAAAGGTGTTAGTGGAAAATTCAACCCCGTATGGGACTCCCCAAAGAGAAGCTGCAGTTATGGCTGCTGAGGAGCAAAAGCGGGTCAGAATTAGGGACTAGGACTACTTCCAAAAAATATACATACATTTTAAAAAGTAGCTCTCACCAGTAGGTCTCTCCTTTTCCTTACAGCCCTCACCACTGCTGATAGGTAGGGCCTTATTTGTTTGTTTACACATAATGGCCTGTATCGCTGGCCAGAGTCCAAGTGCTAGGAGTAAGGAGTGCATGCTTCTTGGTGACCCCATATCCCAATGCCTAGCTCAGTGCCTGCCAGAGAGCAGGCGTTCAATAACTACTGAGTGAATGAATGAATGAGTGAATGAATGGAGGGAGGAAAGAAGGAAGGAAGGGTGGGAGGGAGGGAGGGAGGGAGGGAGGGAGGGAGGGAGGGAGGGAGGGAGGGGGAAGGAAAAATTAAACTGCTCAGATATTCAACAATAAGGAAAGAGTTAAGCAAAGTATAGTAAATGTCAACGGCAGCTTTAGCCACCCAGGAAAATGTTGGTGATGTAACATTAAGCAAACTGGTGCAAGCGTTATAATTACAATGCTTCTGCGTAAACAGGGCCTGGAAGAATATAGAGACAAATGAGAACAGCTGTGGTGCCAGGGACATGAAACCTTGGTGAAATCTTCCTCTCGATTTCGGCAAACTATATCTACCCCGAGGCTCCTTGAACCCAGAAACGCATCCCATTTCTAGAGATTTCTGCTATGAATCAGAAAGGCAGACTAAGCTTTCCATGGTAATTTATTATCAGTGAGAAAACTCTCTGTCCCAGGAACTGTACAAAGCATTTTGCATACATTGTGTCATTATCTTCCCAACAGCCCTGGGATAAGTCCCATTAGGAACCACATTTTACAGATGGTGAAGGAAATTGCTACCCAGAGAAGTCTCTTGCCCAAGTCACAGCTAGGAAGGATTCAAGCTCTGGGTGGTCTGACACCACACCTGGCTCCCAGCATCTACCCTAACCCACACCAAGACTTTGTTCACAAAAATACGCAACATATGTTTAAATATAACTGAGTCCATATACATGTATATGTATTTATACATAAATATATATGCACACTAATCCTCAGCTGTGTGATAAGTACATGCAGAAAAAAACACCAGGCTCAAACATACCAATATATTAGTAGTTAGTCTGAATGATGGAATTAAGGGTGACTTTTTTCCTCTTTATTTTTTTCTGTATTTTCCAAATTTTCCACAGTGAGTGTGCATTGTTTAGGTAACTTGGAAAATGTGATTTTTTTAAAATTAAAAGTGTTCCTTGATTGCTGCTCTATCACTTTTACAGCAAGTCCGTATCCAGGG